TCCTCAAACACCCTAAACTTGTTTGCCCTTGCCTTCTCTCCATCTGTAATACTTCCCCCATTCTTCATTTGACTGACTCCTTACCACTCAGGCTTCAGTTCTCATGTCACTTTCTTGAAAAGACCTTCTCAAATTAATTTGGTTGATGCTATTCATTACTCTCATATTAACCTCTTTTATTTTCTACATAGCAATTAACAGCTTGTCTTTCCCACTAGAATGTAAATTCTTTGAGTTATGACACCATTACTCCATTTCTTAGTATTGTTTATAGATTTAGTCTGAAATTGGTATTTCTTTCAGCACACCTACCAAATTTTAGGAAAAGTCAAAAGTAGGCATTTAGATCACCACCTTAAACCTAAGTCTCAGCTTGTTTGGGAAAAGGTTTATTTTGCTCAAAGGTATTTGTCAAGAAAGTCATGCTAAGTGCGATGTGAGATTTTGCCTTGTCAACACATAACTCTTCTGAGAGTTAAAATAATCCTTTAGGGAACTTGTTTACAACTTTGACAGAAAGCAACTTTTAAAATAGGGGACTACTCAAATTATTTCTATTTCTTCCACAAAGCATATGACTTAATAAACCTTTAAAAATTCCGTATTTACCAGGGTCTTTTATAAATTAAAGGAAAAATGAACAGATTTGTTCCCAAGGTTAATTTCTAATTTGAATTATATATCCAATTTATAACTAGTCCAGCATAGGAGATTAAGTAAAATCCATATATTACCCAGTTGTTCCACTAAGAGTAATAAATGGCATTTGATGAATGGCATTTGATCTGATATCAAAATATGTGCTGATTTAGCTTCTGGTCTATAAAATGTTACCAGTAGCAGAGTTTTAAATAGCACTATGGTAGAGGGCTGAATAACCAGAAATCAAATTTAGTTTGGGATGGCACTCATTTCTTCACTGCAGCTAATTTTACAATAAATTATAGTTTTATGTAGTTTTCCCTTCAGATTATACAGTATTAAATGATTGTGCCTATGGCAATAGGAAACCCAATATAAAATGTCTTAAGCATCAAGTTATTGGCCTAGGTAACAAAAAAATTAAAGGCGGAATATTGATCAAGCGTGGTTCAACCAGGGCTCTGGTTTCATTTCTCATTTTTTTTTGCTCTGTCCTCCTCTATACGTTGGCTTTATACCCATGCTGTAGCTAGAGTTGCAGTATTTCCAAGTCTCTCAAATATACAGTACATTTATCTCCTTCTTAAGAGTGGGGAAACAACTTTTCTCAGAGCCCCTTATAATACTGCCCTTGTTTTTCACGAGCCTGTATTAGGTCACATGCTACTCCTGTGGCTAGAGTAATACTTTGCCTTAATAGGTTTAGATCCAAGTTCCTGAACAATTTTTGTAAGGGCAATGGCATTACACTCTGTTTTTCAAATGGTGGTGGATCATAATCCAAGAATAGATCCTGAAATTAATCTTTGGATCATAATCATTTAAAAAAGTAAGTAGACTTGAGATTGTACTGCATATATAGGGGGTTAGTATTGCTTTATGAAATCTTGGTGTTCACGCACATACGGTACACACCTGTATTATAATGTAGTTTCTTATTGTGAATTGAAGTCGAGAAGAATTTGAAAGCTACTATTTTAAGACAAAATTAAGAAAGCTGGAATGGGGTTAGCTTTTGTTTAAGTACATAGATTATGCAGGGGAAGAAATGAGGGTATGGTATGGGAGAGAAAAGTTGTTGGGGATACAGTCAGCTATTGCCACTGCAGTCTATCTGACACTTTAGTTAATCCTTAATCTATACTGGATTTCAATATAATCATAACTGGACATATTTTAGTTTTCCTAATGTTTTCTAAATTTCAAAGTACATCTCCCTTTATTCTCCTTCCCACCCCATCATTTCCTTTCTGGAAAAGCACTTCATTCCTTCCATCCAACTAAGTATTCATGATGAGGCAATTTATACATCTTATAATTTGGTTGGTAGAAAGTATTATGGCAAGATTCATTAAAAAAACTTGGCTTCTAAGAAAAAAACATGTATTTCAAATAACTGAGCATATCTTACCAACATGCTAGCTTTTATTTAGGTTCAAATCTTTATCTTACTTGACAAGAACTTTAGGGCTCATTCTAATTCATCCCCTTTCATTTAATAAATGAAGAAACTAAGGTCTAGAGAGGATGAACTTATCTAAGTCAGTTAATTAGTTGCAGAACACAAGTCTCTTGATAGCTGCTTCAGAATTCTTTCCATTGTAATTAACAATGGAGTTTTAAGAACTTTAAAAGATGAAAGTAAATAAACATGCCAAGTTTCAGAGGCACCTAGCTTTACATAGTTAATGGCAGTTTTCAAGAATTATTTTGGGGAGAGGAAAATTGCATTTTTAAGGTAACAGGGAGGGCTTATTAAATACTTCCAGAGTATTTGAAAGGCAGTTACTGCCTTATCTATTTAAGTGAGGCTAAGGATTTTAAAGCTAATTTTCATAATGTTTGTTTGAACGGTATTTCACATTAATACTTTACCCTTTAAGGTAGGGAATTAAGTGAGCACTTTTTTTACTGGAAATTTGCTGTTCTGTAAATGATCCAAAAAAAGTTTTAGCTACAAGTTTATAATTTGTATAATTAAGTATGTATGGTAGTACTACAAGATTGACATAGGAAATAATCCTAAGAAGTCAAGACAATTTTAATTACTAGAAACACAGGGATTAAAGGTGGGAAAATCCTTTCGGGTTGGACACATTAGGGGAATTTTAGTTTCATGCACAGGCAGGAAGGGTAGTTGCCATGAGAATATTATTTAAAATATTATTATAAAACAGGTGAGAAGCTGGCATCAAGAACCAAGTTGGGTAGAGTTGGAGTTGAAGAGATCTAGTAACAAATGGACTTAGTCAATGGACTTGAGTTTAAATGTAGGAATCTAGAACCTTAGAGGAGGTTAGGGGAAAAAATTGTAAATAGAGCACAAAAGGTCTTACATCTTAAGAGGCTGACAGATAATCTAATCAAGGACTCAGGTTCAGCCATCTCATAAGGGGTCTAATTATCAGATTTGAAGTATCAGCCAGCTGTAGATATTATGGCATTATACATGATTCTCAAACTAGGGTAGATTTAATTCTGGGATGAGTTGATAAAAAGTATTGCAGGTATGAACTAGTACATTGAATTCTTTTTGGAAAATTAATTTTACTTGAGAGCAAATTAATCCCTATTTTTTACATATTTTATTTTAAAATAAGCACTCATACTTTGAGATAGCTAATTTTGTATGCATTTAGAGACATCCCCCACAACATACACACAGGATTTCAAATAAACACTTAGATTTTGGTAGGACATTTTAGGTAAACTTCCAAGTCACTATTTGATTCTATCAGAAAAATCTGAAAGGCAGTAACTATAAAAGGTTTTGTCTTTGGAAAAGATCCATTTTAGACTAAGTTCTGCCATTTGTTGTATGACCTTAGCCAAATTCAAAAATTACCCAATCCCTTAGGATTGATGTAGATTATAGATAACACACAAGCTTCTAGTAAGGTAACTGACAAATAAATATGTGCTTAATAATGTGACAAAGGGGAAAAAGCATGGGCTACAGATGCTTAATTACACTACCTCAGGTCCTTTCACCTGGAGAGCTGTTGTGTTTCCAGAGAATAAAAATTTAAGACTAGAAGTCTGAGTGTGGAATGAAGTTTAACTGGGTCATAGTTGAATATGGCAGGGAACTAACATATGTCACATATCAGTTGGTCCGAACGTTGTGGGTTGTTAAGCTGATTAACATTATGTCACATATCTATTTCTGATCACCCAGTTTTTAATACATTCTCATTTAATCTGAATAATAACCCTTCACAGAGGCATAATTATTTTACAAATGAGATAACTGAGATTCACGAAGGCTCCATTGCCCAATGTCAAATCATTGAGCAGTGGAGCAGGTACCTAAATTCTACGGCATTCTGCCTTAGTGAGAAGAGGTACTCCTACTCCCCCAAATGCAAGACAGGTTTGAGTAAGTGAGATTAAATAAATGGCTATCTGCAGTAGCTCTTGATTACCAATGAAATGGTGATCTGTGTTGGGTGATGTGATATGGGAAGAAGAGCTCACAGACAGGAATGTCAGAAAATTTTCATAGTATTCTAATGAATTGATAAGATGTTTTGAGGCCAATTATCTTCAAGTATAGTAAAATCTCATGGATTTTGACTACAGTGTATGAAATATTCAATAATGTATGTAGAAACTAAGAAACAAAGATATCTGAAAAAGTTCTTCATATTTCCTCTCTTCAGAGCTATGACATTCTTAGTGACCTCTGTAAACAGTCACAATAAATTCTAGGTAACAAAAATAACAGACAAAAATCAAAGGGTAGCATTCTGTAAACATGTAGAATATACACATATAATCCACCATGCCCTATTCCAAATTTTTTTTGTTCACCTTCAACATTTTTTCCTTTATTAAGCATCACACTTCACAGGGGCTTTTTTTGCCAATAATGGACACACAGAGGTGGATAAGACCCTTTAAGACCTCAGTCCAACTGGGAATCATGAGACAACCAAGCTGTCACAGTTAAGACAGGCACAAAAAAATAAAGCCAAAATAGAAAGATACAGAGAATAAAAATACTTATGATAAATCAAAGTGTTGAAAAGCAAACAAGAATTTAGTAATAGTTTTTTGAGACCTGAAAGCATAGAAGAGTGTGATGTTTAGGAAATGGCATGGAATTCCATTTGATTGCTAGGCTGCAGGGTAGGCATGGCTTAAAAGATTGGTAGGGATTAAATCCTAAAAAGAGGTACATTATGCTAAGGAATTGAGACTTTATCTTGTGAATCAAGATAAAGTTAAGACCATGGAACCCTTTGAAATTATAATGTGATGAAGAAATACCAATAATAATATGTTTACATTTTTGATTTAGTTCTTAAAATCTAATAGAAAAAAATTTAAATACTTTTATTTAAAATCCCAAAATGCCAGAGATAAAATCATCTTTTATTTTCATCTTATATTTGGTCATCACGAGACATGCAAAACCTTTAATTTTAATGAGAACAGTGTTTTTGTGTCTTTTTATCACATATCCGCTTAATATTAGGTGTAATGTTGCTAAGTCGGATCCGCATATGAGGTGCAGCATCAAGCCTTTTTCTGTATTTTGTTTTTGTTGCAGCATAATATGAAAATCCTGTTTCACACAGGTGCATTGTAGCAAAAGGAAGAAGTACACGAACTGCACGCCTTGCAATGCTTGGGTACTCTTGAATTAGGCTACTCCAAAAATCATTCAGGGAAAGTTCACTGAAATTTTGTTTCACTTGAGAATCAGATGTTAAATCAATCAGGCTCTCATAGTCCCGTGCCACTAATGAGGCTGGTTTAACAGTTACTGTAAATGGATTTCTAACCCAAGCATTATTGTCATTTGTTACAGGAAAATATTTCAACAGAGTAGAGCGCAAACCCCGTAGGTGTTGTACAATGGCACTACAAATATCTTTATCAACTGTAGAATTAATTTCAGTCAAAAAGTCACTAAGTGTAGGAAAACAATCAAAATTTTCTTCTTCTACAGATGAAGCCCAAAATGCCAATTTTCTTAACAATGATGACATTTTATCAAATACTGTAAACACTGTCACATTTTTTCCTTGCATTGACAGATTAACCTCATTTAATTTAGTAAAAATATCTGCAAGATATGCAAGTCTTAGCAGCCAAGATAAATTTGTTAAACAATCAGATAGTTGAAAAGCAGAATCCATGAAAACCAATAGTTCACGACGAAGCTCAAAAAGTCTTACCAGAACTTTACCTCGAGAAAGCCACCTCACCTCTGTATTTAGAAGAAGTGCTGTGTGCTGAGCGCCCATTTCTTCACATAAAATTTTTAGTAGTCTGGATTGATGTGGTCGAGCTTTAATGTAATTGATAATTTGCACTGCCTGATCTAACACATTTTTCAGAGATGTGGGCATTATTTTCACTGCTAGTGCATGTCTATATAATAGGCAGTGACTACTGGTACTTTCGGGAGCCACATACTTTATCAAGGTGACAGCCTCAGCAATTTTCCCGTCCATTGCCCTAGATGCATCACTACAAACATCAACACATTTTTCCCATTCAATTTCATGTTTCTGCATAAAACTGTTGATGCAGTTAAAAATTTCTTTACCAGTAGCATTACTTTGCAAAGATTCACATAAAAGTAGGTCTTCCTCGATAGACTTATTAAACCGATAACGAACAAACACAAGCAGCACAGCAAGTCCTGAAACATCAGCTGATTCATCTAGTTGCAGTGAAAACCCGTCACAAATTTTCAGTCTACAAACAAGCTCTTCTTCAATGTCAGCAGCTAGATCCTTAATTCGACGTGCAATGGTACTGTTTGATAGTTGCACTGCATCTATTTTTTTACTGTATTGTTCATCAAACATCCGCATCACGACATCCTTTGCACAAGGTTTGATAAGCAATTCTCCAACAGTATGAGCCTCTCCACTCAGGGCTATATGGTAACTTACATTATATGATGCCTCTGTAGCACTTTCATTATCTGTATTGACAATTTTAGGTGTTGGGGGTTTATTATTTTCAGGTGAATCAAGATGTTGCTTGAAAAAGCTTATGTCTTTGTCTTTATATGCAGCATGTTTAGTTTCCAAATGTCTTCGAAGTTTACTAGGGGCCAAAGAGCTATTTGACAAAATTTTTTTACATAACACACACTGAGCATGAGGAGCATCTCTATTTCCAAAGTAAGTAAATCCAAAAGACAAATAACTTTCATCATATTTTCTTCTTTTTGGTTTCTTACTAAATGTTATTTTGTTGGAACTGGATATAAATTGGACCCTGGAAAGCTCATCTTCTGATTTTTTAGAAACTGAAGGCTGCAACTGTTCATCTTCACTTTGTAATATTCCAACTTTTTGATCATTTGAATCAGACACAATTTGATAAAATGATTCTACTTCTTGTTTAAGACTTCCTTGTTTCGGCAATAGATCCACAGGCAATGTATTTGTGGTACAAAACATGGTTAGTTTAGAATAAACATCGAGTATCACAGATTTGTTGAAATTGTAAGACAGGATACATAGAAGATGAGCAATCATCAAAGAGATGATCTATAGCAACACATCAGTTAATTTGTAAATGCTGCCTATGCATCAATGCGCAGATGGAACATCACGTTCGTCTATCAGGTGATCTCTCATGCGATTTCCTGGTGCTCTCAGGTATGGCACACCTTTTCTTAAAGGTAGATTATCACATAAAAATGAAAGCTATAGAAATGAGTTTAGTAGTTTTAAACTTACAGTTAAGATAAACTATGAAAAAATCTATTGTTAGCATTGACCTTTTTTCTCAGAACACTAACTTAGAGAATATAAATATTCAATACAACACAATTTGGGAATCACTGGGTTAAGAAATAATGAAGTGTTGAGAAATGTGTTTTTAAGGGACCTTGAAGAGTATGTCCCATGGCAGGGACTGGCAACCTTCTTCTGTAAACAGCCATATGGTATATATTTTGACTTTATGAGCCATATGGTCTCCAGTGCAACTCCTCAATTCTGTAGTTGTGGCATGACAGCAGCCATAGACAATACGTAAAAGAATAGGGATAGCTGTTTCAATAAATCTCTATTTACAAAAACAGCATAGAGCATAATTTACCAATCCCTTCTCATGGTATCTTGGAATCTCGTTTAACTTCTGATGCCTACTGCCATTAGATACATTCCTTGCTGATACTATTATATATCTGAAGGCTCCTTTCAGGGCTAGCAATGAGCTATTTTAAAACACACAAGCAGCCCTGGCTGGGTGGCTCAGTTGGTTGGAGCATCCTCCCATTCATCAAAAGGTAGTGGGTTCAGTTAACTGATTGATGTTCCCCCTCCACACTCCTATCCTCTTTGCCTAAATCAATAAACATACCCTTGGGTGAGGATTAAAAAGAAAAAAACAGTTCAAGTTTTGCAAGACAAAGAATTCTGTTGTGTTCTAAATAAACTGTTGACCAAAAGCTACCTACTATTTCTTTGAACTTAAAATTACATAAATACTTATATTATCCAAATTAAGACTCATTCAAAGTAATGTATATCTTACTGATTACTCCGCATCCCATGATACTATAGATGAAAACTTAAGACCTAAAGAAAACATAAACTCTAATTTTAATAGGTTTATTCCTTATATAATATTTTAAAAAGCATAAATGAAAAGTAACACAAATGTTAGGACCTCTAAAGAACACTAGCTTTGTAAGTTAAGAAATAGGAACTTAGTGTCCAACCAAATACAGCTACTTTTAATTTAAACTTTATGATTTGGCTACAGAATCATCTTTGTATTCTCACCTTAAATCCTGAATTAAAATGGTTTTCTTATTGATAGCTAGAGGGTAAGTAAGATACCTGAAATGAGGAGTACTCCCTTCTGGAATCACCCTCTCCACCTTGGCATCTTGAAATGAAGACTCTTCAAAAGAATAAAATTAAGGGATGGGGTGGAAGGAAAGTAACCAATAGCCTAGAATGAGAAAAATTAAAATTAGACACTGCAAAAGCAGCACTAATTACATAACTCCGAACTGACCATCCATTACAATTTTTAGATCCAGGCAGTGCAAATGATTCATCACCGCAATCCTGATCTTAAACTGAAACAGAAGATGCCTAACAATACTTAGTAAACATGTTAATATTTTGTCCTGTTTAATACCCTGGTCATTTCATTGTTTTGAGATGCTCCCCTACCCACTGACTTCATAGAAATAAATTTAAAACTTTTGAAAACTAAACCTAAATTTTGAAAGTACAGCTACTCCTTAGTTGTCTCAAACTATTCTTTGAAAGTAACCTAAAATGGAAGCACTCTATACATGGAAGTGTTACATGACATATGCTTTTTGCTGTTTCTGTCCCCTCAATAACCAACCTCCAAGGTTAGTAATGTTTACTGAGTGATGACTTTTTATAATGTGCCAGTAACTGCTAAATCTCTCATATAGATTGGCTCATTTAATCCTCAAAACAAACCTGAGAGTTGGGGACTATCAATAACTTTTGAGATGAACAAATCAGATGTTAAGTCACAGTACTACATTAACATACCTTTTAAGTGAGAAACTGAGAATAGAACCCAAAAAGTTCGATTGCTGAGTCCACCCACCTAGCCATTACTTTTGTGTACCTGAATAGTCTCCATTTCCCAAGCACTAAAATACCTGGTACCAGGAGTTGGAAGGTGCAGAGAGAATTGGATTACAATGGGTTACAACAGTCAGAAAGCCTAGTATCTCAATCTGGCAGCTTCCTATAGTCCCTATTTGGATTTAGCAACAGAGAACTTCGTGGGGCTGCAGGAGGATTTAAAACTGATCCCTCTCTTCCGCTGCCAGAGGATACTGGGAGTAGGAAGCCTATTTTCAGGCCTTAACCCCACCTCTTTAGAGATGCTACCCTGAATCTCGTAAGGACAAAGAGTCTGGTCTCCCTTGAGAACAAAGTTTCTATGCTACTCTCAGTAAAGGTAGGGCACCGGGGGTAGGGGTGGGAGCACATCCTTCACTTTTTATCCGGTTAAATGAAAAGGTGGCACAATCCCTTCACACCCCCCCCCCCTCAGGCGGTTCCACCTTTGAATACTCTGAGGAGCAGGGGGGGTGGGTTGGAGTGCAGTCCATTCTGAAAGCCTAAGTAGGAGGTGCGTATGAATTTCCCTTCCAGCACCTATTTAGGTGCTTTTAGCAGTGGTCACCGTCATGTGTGGCCCGGGGCAGCCGTCCCTCAACTCCTCCTTGTCACTGTTGCGTGAAGCTCCTAGACCTGCACAACTGTGTTCGCTTCCTGTCGGAGCCCACCCTCGCCTACACAACTCTTCCCTCACGTCCCCGGACGGCCGCCTCGGCTAACAGCCACATGAACACGTCTCATCACCTAACACTATCTTTCCACTGCATCTCCATCGATGATGGAGAGAACGGTCTACGCTGCGGCTGGGCTGCAGAGCAGCGCCGCGGTCCCCAGCTGAGCCTGCGGCCGCCATTTTACACAGCTCCAGGCAGCGGCCATTTCAGAGCGCACCATTTAGCCGCCGTGGCGGCTCTGGTCCTCACCTTCACCGAGGCCTGAACAGGGTCAAGAGCCAGTCGTCGCGGACTGGGGTGAGGCGGGAGGAGCGGGGCAATGAAAAATAAAACAAGAAAGAAGCATTCGGGGACAAGGTGATGCTCTCAGTTCAGGGATATCGCCTATGCCACCTCCACAGAGATCCGATTCGCGGCTGGCACGGTCGCTCTTCTGAAGATAAATTTAGCACCCTGGAGCACCCGAAATTACAGTCTCGGCGAGCGACTCCCCCGATGCCCAATCAGCGCCAGAGTTGCTCTCCAACACCAATCCACGCTGAGCGGTGGGGCGGGACCAAAGGAAAGGACCAAGCACGGTTGAGGCGTCGCCTAGCCGCAGCCGCGGCGCTGAGTTTGTTCGAGCTGTGAATCGAGGTGCTGTCAGACGTGAAGCGATTGTTTTCAAACTTCCCTGGGTCCAAGTCAGCCCGGACCCTTTTTCAGATCGCAGCTGCCTGGGTGTAACCACACAGAATCTGTGATCCTGTAGGGCCCGACTGGACTCAAGAAATCTGCATGCTCTTAGACTCTGGCGTCCTCCGGGGCCGCGATGACTTGTGTGGGTTCGCAGTGCTACGAAGTCGTACACAGAGGATCGGAGCGCAGCTGGGGCTATCACGACCTCTTTGTTCTCCCAGCCCCACCCCTGGTCCAAGTTACGCGACCGCCTTCTCTTTTCCTGGTTTTCCCACTGGAATCTGGGCAGAAAACGCCCCCTCCCTTCTCCGCCCCTCCCCGACGCTGGCGAGGCAGGAGCCCTAGCAGGCCCAGCGGAGAGCTGAGCCGGACGCTCTTCGGGGTACTCCTCCCGCCAGAACTCTTGGATGGTGACTCCAAATAGGGTTGTAGAGGCTCCATGTAGGAGTAGGTAGGGATAGCATTAAAGGGTATCCCTTGATCTGACTTGGCGCCTCTTACAAGTGGTACCCCTCGCCGAAGGAACGTACGCCCAGCGGTTTACACCCACCGACCAGTCCTTAGTTTGCTAGGTGCAGTATTCTGGTGTTTTAAACCGTAGTCCTATTCCCTCTCCTTTTTTGAAAACAGCAAAAGCTTGTGAATTGGGTTTTTTTATTTTGTGTGAGATCCTTTGAGGAGACCTGGAGTCGTTTTTTCCACACTGGCACTTTGAAATATTTACACTTCTTGGAGGGAATTTTTAAGTACCTTCTCTTAAACAGTAGGCCCCATTGTTTGCAATATTTTAGCTCTTCCAGGTTCTGTAGAAATAGCTAAATAGAAATTGGATCATGTTTTCAGGCACCACACCAATGACAAAAAGCACCCAACTTGCGGTCAAAAGGCAGGACAGCTTTTGTTTTCCTTAAATATGCTTCTTTGATATGTGACTAGATTTCTTAACCACTGAAAAAAGTTTAAACCTTAATTTAACAGAAGTTTTAGGACTGCTGCATAGATGATTTCCTGGGACTGATAATAGAAGCCAACATTTGGTCCAAAAAATGTTAAGGCCATCTCAACATCTTCAGATCTTTGCCCTATGTTCTTCATTATTATTTTAAAATTATTCCTACTAAGTCAGTTTTATTTAAACTTTAACCACAAAGGTGGAAATTACTTTGCGGAAGGGATGAAGAACAAAGAATTTCATTTTCTAATTGCAGGAGCTCTCTAGCTTCAAAATAATGTTGGAATAATATCCCATATTTTCATATGTTTTATATTTCAGAAAAACCTTTTACATATATGTTCCAAATTTAATTTTCACACATGCTGTTTATATCTTCATGAACTGGGAACATCCAAAATATTTAACTGATAAGTTCAACTGATGTCAAGTCTAGAATTTAAACTAGGTCCTAAAATCTGAAGTCTGTTGAGGGGCTTTAAATGTAGGAACTTTTTCTTAATTGATGTCAATAAATTTTCATTTACTTAGGGGCTAGTGATGTTGAACATCTTTGCATGTGCTTATTTGTTATCTGTATCTCCTCATTGATGAAATGTCTTTGTTCATTTTCTAATTTTTCTTTTATTATTATTTATTAATTATTGTATTATTTTCTTGACTTTTTAAAAATTACTTTATTGTTGTTCAATTACACTTGTCTGCATTTTCTCCCCACCATTTCCCCCAACCCCAGCTAAACCCACTTCCCTCCCTTGCTTCTACCCTCCCCCTTGGTTTTGTCCATGTGTCCTTTGTAGTACACCCTTCAGGGTTCCCAAAAAGCCTTCTCCCCACTGTCCCTGACCCCCCTCTGGCTATTGTTAGATCGTTCTTAATTTCAATGTCTCTGGTTATGTTTTGTTTGCTTTTTCCTTTTGTTGATTATGTTCCAGTTAAAGGTGAGATCATATGGTATTTGTCCCTCACTACCTGGCTTATTTCACATAGCATAATGCTCTCCAGTTCTATCCATGCTGTTGCAAAGGGTAGGAGCTCCTTCTACTTTCTGCTGCGTAGAATTTCACTGTGTAAATGTGCCATAGTTTTTTGACCCAGTCATTTACTGATAGGCACTTAGGTTGCTTCTAGCACTTGGCTATTGTAAATTGTGATGCTATGAACATTGGGGTGCATAGGTTCCTTTGGATTGGTGTTTCAGGGCTCTTAGGGTATAATCCCGGCAGTGGAATTGCTGGGTCAAAAGGCAGTTTCATTTTTAGTTTTCAGAAGAAATTCCAAACTGTTTTCCACAGTGTCTGCACCAGTCTGCATTCCCAACAGTGCACTAGGGTTCCCTTTTTTCCACATCTTCTCCAACACTTGTTTGTTTATTTGTTTATGATGGCCATTCTGATTGGTGAGAGGTGGTGTCTCGTTGTGTTTTTAATTTGCATCTCTCTGATGGCTAGTGATGCTGAGCACCCTTTCATATGTCTCTGGGCCTCCTGTATATCCTCATTGGAGAAATGTCTGTTCAAACCTTTTGCCCATTTTTTAATTGGGTTCTTCGTCTTCCTGGAGTGGAGTTGTATGAGTTCTTTATATATTTTGGAAATCAAATCCTGTCCAAAGTATCATCGGAAAATAAGTTTTCCCGTATAGTTGGTTCTCTTTTCATTTTAATGCTGTTTTCTTTAGCCATGCAGAAGCTTTTTAATTTGATGAGGTCCCATTTGTTTATTCTTTCCTTTATGTCCCTCACTTTAGGGGAAATATCAGTGAAGATGTTGCTGCATGGAATGTCTGAGATTTTCCTGCGTATGTTTTCCTCTAGGACTTTTATGGTGTCATGACTTATATTTAAATCTTTTATCCACCTTGAATTTATTTTTGTGTATGGTGTAAGTTGGTGATCGAGTTTCATTTTTTTTGCATGTAGCTGTCCAGATCTCCCAACACTATTTGTTGAAGAGGCTATTTTTACTCCATTTTATGTTTCTTACCCCTTTGTCAAATATTAATTGACCATAGAGACTTGGGTTTATTTCTGGGCTCTCTGTTCTGTTCTATTGGTCTGTGTGTCTCTTTTCAGGTTGTTTTGATTATAGTGGCCTTGTAATAGAGTTTGATATCAGGTATTGTGATCCCTCCTACTTTGTTCTTCTTTCTCAAAATTGCTGCAGTATTCGGGGCTGTTAATGGTTCCACATAAATTTTTGAAATGTTTGTTCTATATCTGTGAAATATGTCATTGGTACTTTAATAGGTATTGCAGTGAATCTATAAATTGCTTTGGGTGGTATGGCCATTTTGATGATGTTAATTATTCCAATCCATGAGCATGGTACATGCTTCCATTTGTTTGTGTCTTCCTTAATTTCTTTCTTTAGTGTTGTATAGTTTTCTGAGTACAGGTCTTTTACCTTCTTGGTTAGGTTTATTCCTAGGTAGTTTATTTTCTTGTTGCTATATCAAATGGGATTTTTTTCTGATTTCTGTTTCTGATATTTCATTGTTGGTGTACAAAAATGCTTTTGAGTATTGACTTTGCATCCCACTGTTTTGCCAAATCCATTTATTAGCTTGAATATTTTTTTGGTGGAGTCTATAGGATTTTCTATGTACTTTATCATGGCATCTGCAAACAATGACAATTTTACTTCCTCCTTTCCAGTTTGAATGCCTTTTATTTTTCTTTCTGGTTTGATTGCTGTGCCTAGGACTTCCAGTATTATGTTGAATAGAAGTGGTGAAAGTGGGCATCCTTGTCTTATTCCTAGTCTTAGTGGGAAAGCTCTAAGTTTTTGGCCATTGGGTATGATGTTGGCTGTAGATGTCTCATATATGGCCTTTATTATGTTGAGAAGTTCTCCTTGTATTCCCACTTTGCTAAATGTTTTTTATCATAAATGGGTGCTATATACTATCAAATGCTTTTTGACATCTATTAATATGATCATGTGATTTTTCTCTTTCATTTTGTTTTTGTGGTGTATTATGTTTATTGATTTGCAAATATTGTACCATCCTTGCATTCTTGGGATGAATCCCACTCGATCATGGTGTATGATCTTTTTAATGGATTGCTGGACGTGGTTTGTCAATATTTTGTTGAGGATTTTAGTATCTATGTTCATCAGTTATATTGGCCTGAAGTTTTCTTTCTTTGTTGTGTCTCTATCTTGTTTTGGAATTAGGATGATGCTGGCTTCATAAAAAGAGTTTGGGAGTCTTCCATCTTCTTGAATTTTTGAAATAATCTGTGGAGGATGGGGGTTAGCTCTCCCTTAAATGTTTTGTAAAATTCTTCTGTGAAACCATCTGGTCCTGGGCTTTTGTGTGTTGGAAGCTTTTTGATTACTGTTTCAATTTCATCAGCTGTTATTGGTCTGTTAAGGTTTTCTGCTTCTTCTTCATTGAGTTTTGGAAGATTATATTTTTCTATAAATTTGCCCATTTTACCTAGGTTTTCAAATTTCTTTGCATATAGTTTTTTGTAGTAATTTCTTACAATCCTTTCTATGTCTGTGGTATCAGTTGTAATCTCTCCTCTTTCATTTCTGATTGTGTTTATTTTGGTCCTCTCTTTTTTTTTCTCGAGCCTGCTTAAAGATTTGTTGATTTTGTTTATCTTTTCAAAGAACCAGCTCCTGAATTTATTGATCCTTAGAATTGTGCTTTTAGTCTCTATGTGATTTAATTCTGTTCTGATCTTGGTTATTTCCTTTTTTCTATTTGCTGTCTCTGTTGTTGTTTCTGGAGTTCTTGTAGGCGTAGGGTTAGGATGTTTATTTGAAATATTTCTATCTTTTTTAGGTAGGCCTGTGTCACTAAGAACTTTCCTCTCAGTATTGCCTTTGCTGTGTCCCATAATTTTTGTATTGTTGTGAGTTAATTTTCATTTGTTTCCAGAAACTTGATTTCTTACCTAATCTCATTCTTGACCCATCCATTGTTTAATAGCATGCTATTCAATCTCCATGAGTTTGAGTGTTTTGGGTTTTTTTCCCTTGAGGTTGGTTTCTAGTTTCAGTCCCTTGTGGTTGGAGAAAATGCTTGATATGATTTCAATTTTCTTGAATTAGTTGAGGCTTGTTTTGTGTCCTATAATGTGGTCTATCTTTGAAAATGTTCTATGTGCATTTGAAAAGAATGTGTATTTTGCTTCTTTGGGATGAAGGGCTCTCTATATATATCAGTTAAGTCCATTT